TTTATTGCACACATAAGGAAGTTCTGATGCTTTCTTTCTTCCATAAAGAAGCTCTGTCTCTAGGTCCAGTTAAATAACATGCTTTTCAAATATCTTTGAAGGATATCCTAATAAAAATATATAAATCCTGAGACCATGCTGTTACCTCTGCAATGATTACTGAGGACACTCTTCAGTACAATGAGGAGGGAGATTATTCTCCTTTATCCTTCATTCCATATTTACTTGCTGGACCCACATAAATGGAAAGGTGAGGGAAGTTCAGCTTGGACCAGTAGGTACTTTTGGTTTCTGCCTCTCAAACCTACAGAAATTCTGCTCCGTTTTCGAGTGACAAGTGTTTGAACTCAGAGTAATCAAAGTGTTTTCTTGGGATTCTTTTCAGTCTAGAAATGAGGTAGAATTGTATGGTCCCTTACCTCTACCATCACAGAAGCACTCAGTTACAGGATAAACCGAGAGATGTATTGTCGTTAAACACTATTAAAAAGGAAGAAGGCCCAACAATTTTTTTTAATCAGCTCAATTAATTTCAGACTTGTTTTGAATTAACTTTGAATATAAGTACTTCCTGAATTTAAGTTTAAAACCGAATCATGGAGACTCCATCTAATCTGCTGAACTAGTTATTGTTCTTTGTTTTTCAGCTGAAGAGAGGAAGACACCCAGTGAATCTAACAGCCCATCTTCATCTTCACTGTCAGCATTGAGTGACTCTGCCAACAGCAAAGAAGATGCAGATATAACCCCAAAAAACAAGGGGTCAAACAACCTACTGGTCATTTCTGTAGTGCCTGGTAGTCAGACCTCAGTGAACACTGAAGAGAAGTCAGAGAAAGGTAAAAAATTCGTTTAACAAACACAAACTCTCACTCTCTATGCAATCAGTCTGGCTACATTGTAAGGACTAAGTTTCCTGTTCTATTTTTCAGGCTTCGAATGTGTTTTCTGTAACTTTGTCTGCAAAACAAAAAATATGTTTGAGCGTCACCTGCAAATCCACCTGATCACACGGATGTTCGAGTGTGATGTGTGCCACAAGTTCATGAAGACACCTGAGCAATTACTGGAGCACAAGAAATGCCACACTGTCCCCACCGGTGGGCTCAAGTAAGGAAAGCAAGTACACAAACTTTTACTGTGTTAAGCACCTTAATACTGTGGGGATAGGACAAAAGGAAATCAGTCAGAAAGGGTTGGTTAACTAATAATCCAGATTTGGGCCTGCCTTGTATTTAGATGACCCAAGACCTGTCCTTCAGGATGCAGATACCAATCTGCATCATTACAGTAGATTGGTAACCTAGCAGCAGAGGAGCTGTAACCCCATTCAAGTCAAAGAGGAAACAGTATATGATGTGCCTTATAGAGAATGAAGCAGTACTGCAAAGAGCTTTTGGCAAAATAAGGTTTTTTCCCAAGGCATCCGAACAAAAAGAAGCACCCAGCACAGGCTCTGTTTTGCACCTGGCTCAAAAAAACTAAATCCTGTACACCCTCTAGGTATGAAGTTACAACCCTAAAGGTTATAGCCTTTGTATACACAAAGTCTTTTCTCCAAGAATTAATAACCTGGATGCTTTCTGCTTTGTTTGCATGCCCCACAACATTCACTATTGTATAAATTAACATGTAATAAGTAATACAGTCTTTTAATATAAAACCCCTTTGGTTTTGGCTGTAGTGGTACCCTTTAGAGTCTTTTGGTGCAGAGCAGTGTTTCTAGAGAATGAGTGTGCCCTTATGTCAAAGTCTGACCCCTGGGGGAAGGAGGGACTGCTGGGGCCATATGCTTGTCTCTGGGCAGGCAGTGTGATGTAATGAAAGAGGCATGTCCCTGGCCTCTGTCTGGTCCAGCTGCTGCAGGAAAAAAGCTGGAACCACTTGGAGCCCAGCTAGGGTTCAGCACAGGGCTCCCAGCTTCTGCTGCTCTTGCTGAGCAGGCTGATGTTGTCGGCGTGCTGTGGCTGCGACATGAGGAGCGCACCACGTCCAACGTTGCTGCATGCAGCTCCCTTGGTTTGCACTGCAGCTTTGGAAAACTGGTCCTGTTTGCCAGGCAGCCTCTGGTCTCCAGCTCAGTAGTTCCACAGACTGGGATCTGTGGTCACTTGAGATGAGATGACTGAATCTGGGAAGAAGACCAGATTGAGAAACAAGCACTGTGTCAGAACAACGGGATGTCTGCCTTGGAATACAGACCAGTTGTCTAATGCACATTTGGTTTAAGCTGAGTAAAATCTGTTCTGTTTACCAAGGAAAAACCATGACCATAATATGACTTAAGTCTTCCCTACAGAATGTATTTCTCAGTCTATATTCCTACCCAACTCAAGTAATAATTAGGTACCTTGAAAGCGGCATCTAAGAAAAAGCTCTGATTTATTTTTTTTAAGGCATCCAGAAGAGCCTGAAGAGTTCTAATTAAATTGTATTTTTCTGTCTCCTGTTTGCTGTGGGGGAAGAGAAAAAAAAACATGATTCTTCCAGCTCCAGGTCAAAATCTGAGATTCTGATCCAGAGAGCACCCAGCCCAGGAGAGGTATGTGTGCTTTGACAGCCAAGTCCTCTGGTGAAAGAGAATCACATTAGAAGCCTCAGTGACAGGCTCCTTCTCTGCATCAGAGTACTTGATGTGCATCAGGAAATGTGTCCAGGTGTTTTAGTATCTCTTTGTCTTCCTGTTATTACTCACCTTCCTCAAAAATCTCTTGATTAACTTGTAGATTATTTTTATACCTGTATATGCAACCAGATGTAGCAAGGAAAACAAGCTTAGAGAGAGAGAGAATCTCAGCTTAGAAATTATCCAAAATTACCTGCTAAACAGTGAATGTTGATGTGTGGCAGCTAGGGATGTTGGAAGACAGCAGCCAGCTGCCTTAGCTGTAAGTTTTTATCCAGCCCTGCTCTCTGAGCTCACCAGTTCCATGTGGAAGCTGTGTGCTTGGTTCAGTACAGCAGAAACCCTTGGCAGGGAGCTGTCCCCACCAACTTCCTCTCAGCTGCACCAAGCAACAGTGGGTGTGTTTTGGGTTTGGTGGGTGGCCAGGCTTGTTCAGCATGCAGCTCAGGCTTCTTTCCAAACTTTCATGATTCCCTCCTCTACCCTTCTCAGCCTCTCCTGGCTCAGGAACTGGGGTGAGGCCCTTTGCCATGTCCACCCCAGGCCGGATGCTTGCTGCTGTGAATAAGAAGAACCCACATCCTGTTCCTACACAGGAGCAATTCCTGCCATGGCAGAGGCAGCTGTAGGCAAACACTGCCAAGCACACACCCCTTTCAGCATGGCTAGCTCATCTCCCAGAAATGGGAGTCCCTACAAATCATCCTAACAGCCTGGCTTTCAGCTGCTCCTAGCAGGATACCCAGCAAGCTTATTGTTCATGGTCACATAAAAGGGAATTCCTAAGCTTTTGCTGTACATGTGGTATTACAAGTTTATTCCATCTTTACTTAAACAGCTGGTTTTATACTCATCTGTAAACATTCACTTTAAACCACTTCTTAATGGAAAAAATGACCAAAGTGACTTCGTGCAAACACTAGGAATCGTTACACAAAGTACCTGTGCATCAGTCACCCACCCTGCACTCCCCGGCCTGCTTTGGGGGAAGACCCCATCAAGGTAAGCCAGAAGGTTAAAGGGATGCTCCTTCAGAGCAAATCAATGTTTTTCTAGGAATGCCATTAAATGGGCAAACCTCCTTTAAGTAAAGATGTGTCGAGGTGAATCAGATATTGGAAAGAGGCTTCACAGGGAGAACTGAGTGCCTTTTTCTCCTCCTTAGTAGGTCAGAAAGGGGCTGAGTGCCAGGGTTAAATCAGGAAGGCAGGTCTGCCAGACGAGTGACTCCTCTTTTCTTTATCCCTGCCCTTCCTTGCTGTGTTGCCAGGTGCCCGTTCTGCATCTACTCCACGAACCGCCCCGCAGCCATGGAGTGCCACCTGAAGAGTCACTACAAGATGGAGTACAAGTGTCGGATCTGCCAAACAGTGAAAGCCAACCAGCTGGAGCTGGAGATGCACATCCGAGAGCACCGCCTTGGCAACCATTACAAGTGTGACCAGTGTGGCTACCTGTCCAAGACGGCCAACAAGCTGATCGAGCACGTGCGTGTCCACACCGGCGAGCGCCCTTTTCACTGTGACCAGTGCAGCTACAGCTGCAAACGCAAAGACAATCTCAACTTGCACAAGAAACTGAAGCACGCTCCACGCCAGACCTTCAGCTGTGACGAGTGCCTGTTCAAGACTACCCACCCTTTTGTCTTCAGCCGCCACGTGAAGAAGCACCAGAACGGGGACTGCTCTGAAGAGGAGAAGAAGGGCCAGTATTCAACCTCCAAGGAAGCCAGTCCGCTCCTACCAGTGATCAGCTCCAGGAACCTTCTGTCACCCTTCTCAGTTATGTCTGCCTCCCAGGCTCTGCAAACAGTAGCTATGTCAGCTGCACAAGGCAGCGGGGCAGAGCCAAACTTGGCAGTGAAAGCCTTGGCCATCAATGGCACTTCCCTGTGCTTTGATAAATACTGGAACTCAGAGTTTGCCCACCTTATTCCTTTAACAATGTTTTTCCCCAAAAACCACTATGATCTCACATTCCATCCACCCAGACCTCAGACTGCACCGGGGGGTGCCTCTTCACCTAAACACTCCTTCCTTGCCTACCTTGGACTAACAGAAAGGGCAGAAACTGTCTGAGGGCAGTTGCATCTGTACCAAAAATCCCTCAACAAACCCAGCAGGTTACACATTGCTGCAAAACGTAGCCCCGAGAGGTAACGAACACTTGTACTATATCATTAGTAAGGTTTAGCAAATGGCTCTGTGTGTATACTTATTGCATTGACATGAAAGCTGCTTTATTAAATCTCCAAGAGGTGACCTACTGCATACTTCTACCTTCAGAGGCATGTTCCCAGTACTCTTATCTAAGAAACTATTTTGTCTTGTTAAGCTGAAAAAAAAAAAAAAAGAAAAAAAGAGTGTCCTTATTGGCAATCAGCACTTGTAAGATGACATATTGATGCATTTTATTTTTGGGCTTTGTGTGCGTGCAGGTGCGTGGAAGAGAGGCTGCCTGTAGTGTGCCATGACATTGCTTTTGCACATCCCTTGGATTCGCTTCTTTAATCATCCTTCTTTTCCCCTTTCCACACCCTCACTCTCTGCCTTCCCCCTGCCTGCCCCTGAACTGTGGAGCAGTTCAGGAGCAATGTTTGGGGCGGGGCAGGTGGAGAACTGGTGTATTCTTTCAGTGCTGTTTGCAGCTTCCTTTAGTTGTTTGATGCCTTGTATTCAGTTGTTAAGGTTTGAGGCTTTGGGGTAGAACTGGTGAGGAAAAGAAGTTGCTTTCAGCATTGCAGGATGAGAGCATGACAATGAAAAGAGTGTGTATATCCACACACATGCTGTGTGCAGCCTACACACCCACACAGCAGGCCCAATTCTCCGCTTTTACACAGGTGTGACAAACACCTGCCCCTGGGCCACAGCATACATCTTTTGTTTTAAAAGGGCATATAAATATTATATATATACTGTATTATGCAGTGGTTACCTTTTACTTTGCAGGAACAACTTGTATAACTAGAATTCTATGGTGGAAAAAAAATCCAACAAGGGGATTTTAAAAAGGGTATGGATAAATTCTGGGTATAAATACTCAGACTAAAAAAAAAAGGCAGTTTTGCACAGTGCTTTAGTCTTGCACTAGTTTGTTTCTCACTTGCAAAAAAAAAAAAAAAAAGAAAAAAACAAATTTTGGGCTGAAGTTAATAAGATTGTTTATTTGAAAAGGTACCAGTAACTTCTTTGAAATATAAAGCTATAAAAAGATGCTTTTGGAATCATAAAGTTCTCTTTTATACCCTCAGTATTTCAATTGTACTTGCAAATTTGACAGTCCTCTCGCTCCCCTCCATGTCATCAGTAATACTTTATTCCTTTCTGTTGATGGCAGATAGAGTGTGTCCTGCTAGGAAGATAACGTTGTACTTATTTAATGCTCCTACTTGTGCTCATTAAAATGATATGTTACATGTAGCACTTTATTGCAGGAAGAAGTGAATGCAGATTGGTTGTATAACCTTTGTTAATCTCAAAATGCCAAGAGTGATCTTAATGCAAGAGAAGCTAACCCACTGTTAATTGATTTTTGTTCCTTAGACAACTTAATATATTGTGAAGAAAGACTGGGATTAAAAGCACTCTGTTTTACAATTGGAAGTATAAAAAGTGAAGCATTTCAAAATGATCATATGATGTACAGGAATGCCTTCATTCTGAATTATTGTTTTCCATGGTGTCTCTTGGATTTGGATCTGGCTGTCCTTTACCAGCTATTAGAAGTGTCTGACCTAGCTTTTGCCACAGTCCCCTCCCTGTCCCTTGGCCAAGCCACTGTAGGAGGTGCCCTGAGTCACATCTTTCATGCTATCTACCCACCCTCATGCTTTCCTGAAGGAACTTCCTCTACAGGTTGTTGTGGGATGGGGGAATCCAACCACCCCAGCAGGAAAGCATTTCTTGTCCACAAGGGCTCTTAGCCATATGGACAAGTAGAAATGTAACTCCATCTTCATTAGTTCTTAAATTAAGCTTGTGTAGAAAGACTTTCTGGATGCAAAACTTGCATCACTTTAACCCATTTGCAAGATTCCTACATTTGTTTTGCATTGAGATGGCCAAACATTCTCCACTGTCATGACCAAATACTTCCTGTATGTGGAGGACATCCTAATCTGCACACTCCTGTTACCATACTGGAAGCTAGTTACAAGGGGGAAATATCCAAAATCACAGCAGGTTATCATTTGGCATTATTAATTACAGGACAGAGAAGTCTCACCATTTGTTTACATTCCAGCAGACAGTTTTGGTTCTAATGAGCACTTGGCAGTTCTGTCTACGCAGTGAGGAAAACCCATCTGCTCCAAACTGCGTGTAAACCTGTCAACAACTTACCCAACTCAGGGCCCTGCTCTCCACGCTTTACTCCATCAGAGCTCCTTCTCACACCTCCCTGGGAGTACAGACAAAATAGAAAACACTGTGTTGGGAAGTACTCAGAGCATAAAATAGTTACTATCTTGACAGCATGAAATCTGCACTCTGTATCCAGCAGCTCTACCAGTTCTGTAAAACACGCTCCACACGCACATCTCTGACCACACCACAGAAAACCAAACACTCCCAAATCAAAAAGCTTGTTTTTCACACCAACTACAGGTAAAGTACAGCTGTCCAGGAGGAAGAAGAAGGAGGAATGTTATAATAGTCGGCCACTGTATCTAAACCAATTGGCAGCTTAAGTGGGGCTGTGACTTCCAAGAATGAGCTGCCCACATGCGACTGCTGTGTGATTTTGACCATGTTCCACTGCACCAGTATCTGACCTGGCAATGTTTAGTGTACCTGGGAAATTTGTTTAGCACTTTGGAAGGATAAATTCATCCTTTCTGGCAAGTTATATAAGTTTTCTCTGTAAGGAAAAGTGTGTTAGGAGGTTTTTATTTTTTTAAGAAAAAAAAAATACCCTATTTATCAGAGCTCTTGCATATGAAAATAATTTGTTTGCAGTTCAAGACTAAAGACAGGAATGTTCTCCAGAGGTTCCCCCTACTGATTAATGACCAACAGTTCTGATAAATTCCCCCACCATAAAGGTAATTTCATACTGGTTTTCACTATGCATTCTTTAATGAAAGCTGGAATGTTTTTCCATTCAGTAATTCAGTTAAAGTTCTCAGCACTTTTTTCTTTCTTCTTTTTTTTTTACTTGTTGTATTATGTTCAAATATCATTCTGTCAAGGTTTGTGTACATTAATAAAAATTTGTATTGTATAAAGCTTTTTGCATTATAAGGCTGTACAGGGTCATTTTGACAGTAACTGGTATATTTCTTTGCATTTTATGTTGCATTGCCAATTTCTAGTGTATCCAGTTTGGAAGTACAATATACTCTAATTAAAAAGGTTGGCTATATTCTGGTTTCTTTTGGTTTTCCTTCCTCTCTTTTTTTTTACCTTAACTATATTTAGAGTTGATTTGGAGGGAGGGGGAAAGGATTCTCCTACAAGACAAGATAACGTCTTTACTTTTTTTCTTCTTATCAGTGATATTAATCTTCAATTTTGAAATTGTAAAGGAAAGCTGTGTCTCTTACTCCTGATGAGGAAATATAGCAAATAGTCCGAGGACAGCTCCAGGACTTCTCTCTGTGGGCTTTTAGCAACCGTCCAGGTCAGTTCTGCAAGGGGGATAATTCCTCTTCTGCGCACTCTGTCCTTCCTTCAGTCACGCATTTCAAAAAAATCAGATCCTTAAGCAGTAGTTTGGTGGGCTTGCTCTTGCTTGGAAGGAGACCAAACAAAGCCAAGGAAATTTCATTAAAGATGAGCTAAGCAGTGAGTGAAAGAACACGGTGCACTAAAACATTGTCATGAAAATAATTTATTTTTAATTGTAAAAATATTGTCAGCATTTTAGAAAAACCTGTTATTTAACCAGAGATTATTGGAACATTTAAAATGCACAGAGGACACTAAAGACGGAAACCCTAAGAACAGACAATTTCCAAGAAGCAAAGGTACTATTGACTCCACTGAACAAGAAAAGATACTCAACATCCTCAAAGAAAGTTAGACTACTTAAACACCAACCAAAGAAAGAAAATAATCTGGGTGTTCATTAAATAAGAATTATCCTCAGATATATTAATGTTAACACTAAATACATGTGGACTGCCTTTTTCTTGCAGTTAGGGCAGTGCTAATGTCTACTCAACTGAAAAAACTTCTTACATTATTTCTACTCTCCTGAGATGTGAATACTAATTTTCAGGGCCTTTATCAGTACCTTGTACAGGTTGCTGGCTGTTGGAATGCACTGCTCCTCTTCTGCTGCTGGCTCTTTAGCTGAAAGAAAAGCTTTGACACAGAGTTGGTAAGTGATGGTGTGTCTCTCTCTTCCTGCCCACATTGTACCTCTAATAGAAAATATACAAGAGACTCTCTGTGGAGTTTTTTTGCACTAGACATTAATAGTTATCCTAGCAATTAAAAGGCAATCATGCAAATCATACCCATAGCAGCTGTGGATGCTCCATCCCTGTAAATGTTCAAGGCCAGCCTGGTGGGGACTCAACAATCTGGTCCAGCAGAAGGTGTCCCTGTCCGTGGCAGGAGGGTTGGAACTGAATGACTTTCAGATCCCTTCCAGTGCAAACCATTCTGTGATACTATGAAAAAGTGGCTTAATTGTTTAAATAAGTTCTAAATCACTAAAACCAGACTGAAGAATTACTTAAAATAAGCTGGGAGGGCCCTGAATTATCTTACTGAATTATCCTGACTGCCAGTCTCAACCAAAACATGAACTGCCTGCAATCAGCCCCTGTAGCTTTAGTCTGACAGAAAACCCCTGTGTTCCCCCAAACAGGGGTATTAGTGTGACATGCCCTTTGCAGCAGGAGGCTATAACAGCCTTGTAGGCCTGCATGATTTTAATCAACTCAAATTTCCCGAGTCTGTATTTTCTGATAATATTCCAATAATGATGTTTGATTACAGAAAACAGGTCCAGTTGTGTAGTGACTCTTTCAGGAAAACAAGAAGTGTCCTGTTTTCATTCTGAATCTATGTACATTTTTAACGTATGTTTAGAAAAATAAGCCTAAAATTGTCATTTTTTTTCATAGTTGTTTCTTACAATCCTACACATGCCATAGTCATCATGAGCCTAGCAGAACAAGGCTTTAAGAGAGAATTTACTGGAGGGGAAAAAAAAGCCAAACCAAACTAAAACAACAAACCTACAATTTTCTGTAACTCTCCACTGTTGAGAGGGCTTCTCTACAGTGGAGGGGATGGCATCATTTATGCAGAGCCATGTTTTAAGATCCTTGTTGTGTTAAAAATACATCAGTTATGCTCCTAACAGACAGACATCTGCATTATATCACCCACCATCTTATCTGCTGCTAATTGGCCTCCTTGTTGACAAGTCTTAGCAGCAAGGTTAAGTGCTGGCTGTAAAAGCAATGTAGCCTCTTGCCCGAGGGGTCAGAGCTCAGGCAGACTGTGCTGGAGCCTCCATGGCCTCTTTCCCTGCTATATATTTTCTGGGAGCTAATAAAACACCAGGGCAATCACTCCTGCCTGGAGTCTGCCAGCCACCACAGTGTCTGTGGAGCTGCAGCAAATGGAACATCATCTCCCCAGTGCAGAGCACTCAAGGAGTCTGCAAAGGAAAAAGGCATCTTCTCTTGCACCAAAGTTTTAAAAACTCCCTGAGATGCAATTTAAAAATCCATGAACTAACAGTAACCTTGAACATGGGGCAGCTGGTGCCTCAATGTCCAGCACAGCCCTTGGAAAAGGGATGGGGCACACCTTGACTGAATTCACAGGTTCCATTTGAACCAAATACTGGGATTTTACCTGGCTGCTGGGCTCCTTGCAGAGCTCTTGGGAACATCCTAGAAAGCCATTCCAGGTGGATGCCAGGCAGTACATCAGGAATGCAGCTGCTGGGCTTCCACATGGGCACAACAACTGCCTTTGACCAACCTGGCAGGGGTTTGATTTACATGTATGACAAGGAAAGGGAAGGAAACTTAGAGCTGGAATTGAGCAGTGGCAGTGGTAGGGGAACACACTGACTGGAAATGTTTCATTAAGGAAAAAAAAAAAAAGAAAAAGAAAGCACCCCCCCCCCCTAAGAAAAAAAAAAAAATAACCAAACCAACAACTGTACAGGAGAAGAACAGAGCATCAAGTGATAGTATGGCACTATTTTTGCAGCCTGTGGCAGCCTGTTTCCCTATTTAAAATGGAGAAGGGTTTCCATGCTTGGTTTTGCTTGGGGTTTTTTTGCTTTGTTTTGGTTTTCTTCATAATTGTTCTCTTTCCCTACACCTTAATCATGATAATAAAATCAACATATGGCACAACTCTAAAAAAAAAAGTTAGCACCCCCCAGTTTTATTTCCAGTTTAGGCTATAATTAATTTTTAAAAACTTCAAATTTCTGTAGTAGAAATTCCTCTTCTGTTTGCCTTTAGTTCTGCTCTACTTTACTTTTCAAATCTCTAGTTTCTATCACTTACCTTTCTTTTTCCAGCACTTCTCAGACAACATTTCACTGGAAGTGTAAACCTTGGATTGTAACTCTTCTGGGAATGTGCCTGTTTAAAAAAAGAAGAGAAAAATGTTCTCTCGCTGAGCCCCTAGACCTTCATGCCAATGTTTGCAGCACAGCCTAAAGTGACCAAACCCAAAAATAGGCCTTGCTTCCTGGCTGGTCAACAAAGCATCAAATACCTTCTGATTCAAATACTTTCTGATTCTTTCCCTGCTATTTAAGCCTGGAGTGTTCATTCACAAGCCAGGCCAAAGAATCTGATTTTTAAGAGATTTACCAGAAAGCCAGTTGGGAGGGTCAAAGCCCCAACTAAAGTGCTCATATATGGGTGGGTAGGACTCTGGAGCCATAGATGATAGACTGCATCAATGAACAGGAGCAGGTTTCTCCCAGTTTGCTCTCACTGCCTCAAGTTGCCACAAATTACCACTTGAGCATGGTCTAGGCCCTGCTCTGGGCTCAAACCAGCAAAACAAATTAAATCAAACTAAAGTATCCATGTCTGGTATTCCTTGACTGCAGGGATTAACACTTCCCTGGCATCCAGGCTTCCAGTACACAGTGTGCAGCTGCATTCCAGCAGAGTTAGAAGCAGGGCTTGTTTTAACAATAAAAAGCACTGGATCTTTCTTTCCTGAAACCGAGAAAAACATTTTAAATGGGACGGCAATGTAAGTAAAGATAAATAGTTGCAGGAAAGCTCCTTCCATCAGCAGGGTTCTGAAGCAATATGAATACATTGGTGGCTGTCACTCATGCCAGTGACACTTTTTAAATGTACCAGAATAGCTCTATTCACAGGTGTTACCAGAGCAATGCCCACTTGCACACTGAATATTTAGTAAGCAAGCATTAAGACTTCGTGTTTCATACTTAGCTCCCTATTTTAATGCAGTATTAAGTTCTGCATACCCAGAACTTAATGAAAAGATCTAAATATAATGTCAGTGTGATTTAAAAATATGCACTGCCTCTTTTAAGTTGACGTTTCAATTAAAAATAAATAAGATCCATTTATATGGTGATACTGTGATAAGATGGCATCAGTCAAGTTTCATTCCTACTCAAAGTGACAGATTTCTCTAAGTCAGAGCCAGGAAATTCAGTCCTCCAGCAACTCCAACCAGAAAAATATAACTGAGGGTGAATTTAAGTACTTCACAAAAATTTGGGTATCATGTTTCAAGGATAAATGTATTTCATTTCACAGACTCCTATAATCATTAAGGTGGGAAAAGACCTCCAAGGCCTTCCTTTTATTACTAATGAATTTATTTAGTCACTTTTTTATTATCTTTCACAGGGGAGGCCAGATTGAGTTGCAGCTGAGCTTTCACCTTTCTAATTTTCTCTCTACATGACCTAATGACATCATTGTACTTTTCCTGAGTTGTCTGCCTCTTCTTCTAAAGGTCAGAAATTATTTTTCTTCCCCAAGTTCACCAAAAGCTCCCTATGCAGCCAGGTCAGTCTTCTTCCCCATCTTCACACTGTTACTATCCTGAGGCTAGTCTATTAAAACTGATAACTGCACTCAACTTTTGTATTTGCCGTTCAGCCCAAGTCACGTGAGTGTTATCATTAGGTTTTTTTTGTCACCTAATCAATAGCTTGTCAAGACCCAGGCCCTTATTTGGTGTCAGAGATTTCAAGAATCCTCCACATTTAGAGAGCCAAAAGAAAACCTATGGGGTACAGTTTTGCAGTGCTCAGAAAATCTGCTTCCCATTGAACTTTTTCAGTTTCTTGGGCTAGTTCTAAGAGACAAACTGAGACAACTCAATAGTAGCAACCAGATATAAATAAAAAGATCACCCAAAACTGTCACTGGCAGCCAAGAGGCCAGGACCCTGAAATGTCTCATGGGAAAGTTTCCTAACCCGCCAGAAGCTTGCATGGCTCAAAGCTTGCTCTTGGCACTGCCAGATGACCAGGGACTGCCTCCTCCCATGTCATCTGCCAGTTCATGACAGGCCAAAAACTCAGAAGAAATCCCTTAGCTCTGCAGCTCTTTCTAGAAACCTCAACAAGCCAGGCTACTTACCTCTGACTCCTCTGAGATCTGCTGTCTGTATGTATGTTGACATTGAATTCACTGTGCAAACACCGAAAGCCAGAGAATTTCCACCCCAGCAGAAGTGCACAGACCTGCTCTCCTCTTGCTCTGCTCTTGCAGAGGGCAGACTGCTTATTGTAACAAGTTGCAGTGTCATAGCAAACTCAAATCAATTATCTTGCTTCCAATGTAAAACTGAAAAGTTCCTCGCATCATCTCATCACAAGATTTCTGAAAGGGACTTTCTGAAGACTCTTTTCCTGCTAACAAAAAAAGAAAAAAAAGCTTACCCAGGAACACAATTAATATTGTCAGTCAAGCCAAGTGAAATCTGACATCTTACACCATCCCAAGGATGCATTCAACCTGAATTCTGACGGTATCCTTGTTTACCCTGTCCCTCCTGGCTATGAAGGGGAAAGCCAGCAAAGAAAGCTACCCTCAAGGAAAGATACCCTCCCACCTCTTCCAAAGATCTTTGAAAGGTCTCCCAGCAAGGTGAGAGAACACAGGGAAACCTTCCAGCCACAGACAGAGACTGCTGCTAAGTGCAGGGGAAAAGTCTCACCCTCTTCGACTCCAGCAGGCAATCTGGGACCCTGGGCAGAGGACAGAGAGGACAGCAGCCTGTCCTCACACCACCCATCTGCCCAGCCCTACAGGTCTTGGGGGGTTCTTGGCAATTAGCACAGTTTCTCTTGCTAATGGACAATTAAGAATGTGCCAGACTCTATCCAGTCTTCAGCTCATTACAGGGAGGAGCTGAGACTGGCAATAAAACTCTCCAGGAATGGAGAGGCAGGAGATCCAGACTCTAATCAAGACCTGTTGGAGGGTCCTGAAACCAACCCTTTCTCACCAGCAAGATCAATATGGCTGTGCCCTGATAGGCCTGCAGGTTTTTTTGGACATGAGAGGAATCAGAAAACAGATTAATGCAGTTTAACTAGGAAATGGATAATACATCCTCCATGTCTCATAGGCTGGCCATGAAGACAAGCAATTGTTTTTTTTTTTCTTAATTTATAAGGCATGGGGGTTAACCCTGAGGTACTTCAGTTCCAAATGTGGTTCTTTTTTCCTGATAATGATGAAACAGAACAATGTAATTCAAACCCACATCCCGAAAAGGTGAACAGCAGCTTGCCATACCAAGTGCTCAGGGCACCTGCCACCAATGATCTACTCCCTCCCTTGAACAAAGAATGTCAGAAGATGAACACCTTCTTTAAGTAATTCCCCTTCTTCATCCCCTGCCTGCACATCTTGGTTTGTCTGTGCTCATATCACCACATACACCTTCAACTATTCAGGATCTCTTTAATTCATAACACAAATTAACATAATTACACTACATACCATCCTGCAGTAACTTTTTTGACACATCAAAAACAATATTTTCATTTTTTGCAGAAAAAAAAACTGTAGACAACTCATGTCAGCAGCCAGATAAAAACAAACCAGTCTTTCTGAACAAAAGCTGCTCTTTCTAGAGAGTTGGGGTCATTCATTATCTCCAGCTTTAATGAACTGCAGACTCCTCAGCTTTTGGGAAATACAATTTGACAGTTTGTAGAGGAAGATTGATTTTATTTATACACATCTATAAATAAAGGCTCCATACTGTGGCATCAGCCAGTCAGATGCACGATACAATTTCAGCATCTCTTGAAGAGAAACAGCCTGGATTTTGAGCAAGGGACTATAGTGTGGATAATTTTCTAACTCCAGATGAAAAATGCATTTTCCCTCATCTAGCAGTGGTGAAGAGGGCTGCACCTGTGAGGTGCCCCTGCCAGCATTGACCTGTCAGGCTAGAAAGGAGTCTGCCAGCCTTTGCTAAACAACTCACAAGACAGAGATGCAAAGATACAGAGTAGAAAGAAATGAGAGAGAAGTGCTTTGCAAAAGCAGGACTTTGCCCTTAGTAACTAAAGGTAGCATGGATTTCAACCCAGCTCGAGCAGCTTTCCATCTACAGGGAGAAATAAGGAAAAGGAGAACAATACACAATACAATTTATTGTGTGAATTATACAAATACACCTTCATAAAAATCTAAAAGCGTGAGCGTGCGCAGAAGAAAGCTTTGAGAAATGGATAGTTATAGCAAGGCCATACCACATAAACAAAAGATATCCAGGGAAAAAAAAAAAAAAAGGTGTTTGTGAGATGATCCAGGTAGATTTTAATCTGTTTGGGCTACAGAAAACAGGTTTCCTGACTAAGAGAATGCCTTGAACTACTTAATCACAAACAGGCCTCTTCAAAAAAGTTATTCCCTTAAAGCTATTTACACAACAATTGCAACTCCTTACTTTCCCAGTCCTGTTTCTTCTCCAGCAACGAAACATTTTATATCCTCAGTAGCTCTTGCCTGTTGCAAAGCAGTGAAAAAACCCTTGCCAAAAAGACTCAGAAATGCAGAACCCTGAAGGAAATGAGACCTGAGACATCTGATTTAGGACTCTGCTCACAATTTTTTTTTCCCCTGGTTCCGAGTAGCCCAATACGCTTCTGAAGGACCATGGGACCATGGAGCAGTTTGACACATTGAGGAGAGGGGGAAAAAAAAGATGGTAACAAGTGGTTGTTCTTTTTACCTCAGCTGTAAATCTGTGCACAACACCCAGGGCACAGCATCAATTCCAAACAAGAGCAGGCAGATATACAACGTGCTGCTTGCCCCGATCAAGCCACAGAGCAGCACAAAAAAAAAAAAAAAAAAACTAAGGCTCTCTAGCAAGACATAAAAATACTCAAATCCATTGTAAGCAGTTCAGTTTTGAGGAGGTTTAAACTCTCCTAACTCCAATAAAACAACACCGCTACCTAGACAGAGTAAGCCCACCCACAGTCCCAAACAGAATTCCTATAGCAGATGCAAATTTCAGCTGGTAATGTGAGCATTTTTAAGGAGCAGTGTGATGCAAGAAGGCTAAAGACTGGGGAAAAAACATATTCGAATCACCTAAAACAGAATCTTTGATAGGGGTAACATGATAGTTATAGTCTGGTGAGTTTTTAGGGAGAATTAAAGAGGCTCTGAGAAAGCACAACTGTCCCCATCTCAACCATCCAGGAATTTTACAGTAGGCAATCTAATCACCAGCACCATGATTGCTTTGCTCTAGGTCCAGCCAATCCAGATGCCACAAAATCCATGGGCTGTTCCATGCCACGCTTGGTGCTTTAGTCTTGTGTGTTTTGACAGGTTTGTGCGGGGAAAGTTGAGGACTGAGAGCAACACTCTGAGCTCCTGGAAAGGATTCACACTGTGAAGAACCACAAAACCATTTGATGCCAGAAAATACAAACCTCCCTTTCTACCACAAGAACTCAAGCATGCTCCAGACTCCAGACCACGAACATGAACTGCGACACTCTAGAGAGATCTTTTGTCTCTTTTTTTATAGGATGTTTTACTCGGGCCTCTCTTGAGTTCCCTAGCAGGGAAGGCAGATGTAGTCAAGGCTGAAATTATGTATCCTTTAGCATTTGCCATGAATCATTTGGCCTCAATCACAAGAAGGGGTTTTCATCTCTCTCAGAAAGGGTACATCTGAGAGAGTACATCTGGCTGACTTCATCATCTGCAGGAATGAAAGCAGGATGCCAAATCAAGTACCAAACATCACTCAAAACCACTAAGATTTACAATTCAATCTCTGATCAATCAATTTCAGTTGTGAAAACTCAACTATTGTTCAAAAAACCAAATCAAAACACACATAGGGAAAAAAAAAAAGGTAACCAAACTTCAAAAACTCTGAATCCACCAAAAGATAGTTTAAGAGATGAATTAGTAAAACAAGAACAAAACAAAACACATCACAATTCAGCACAAACAACAAAATAGATAAAGGCAGGGAACATTGACACTGCTTTTTCAAAGCAGTGACTATTATGGCTGGTACCTCTGAGAATGAAACACAGCAAGCTCTCCAGTGCTTTGACCTCCAGAAGGTCATGTTCACAAGTCAGTGACCTTAACAGCCAAGCTGCCATTCCCAATGCCCACAATAGATCTAATTACTTCAACCAACAAGCATTAAAAGGCACATGCAGCACTTAAAGCTCACATTGCTCTGTTAATTCAAATACATGTATCTACAGACATGAAGAGGAGAGAACAGCACCCTTGCCATCTATGGATGCTGCACGTGCTCTGCTTAACTTTCCTTACACATTTTGGCTTCCGCATTTCTTTTCCTGATGTTTCCCTGTTTGGAGACTCTTCACCCAAACTCAAACCCTAATGAAACCGAATAAATTGATTCAATACCTATTTGCATTGTCATTCTTCCCATCATTATTCACTGGAATTCTTCAGACTTGGCTAAGGCAAAATACCATTTTGTTCTTCTTTCAATTGCATAGATCCAGGTGAAAAAATAAACTTGTTTCCTACATAGCACTTTTGAATTTGCTGAATAACCTAGCAGGTCAAATAATTCATTCTGAGAAGAAACAAAATCCTTTAGTAAGTACATTGCTTACGTACACAAGTTCAAGGGGATCAACAGCATTTTATAAAAGTATGAAGTAGAAATCTACAAGATCCAACAACTGCTACCAAATACCCCATCTCCAAGGTCTTTTGAGGTACAGCTGGGACCAAATCTCAGTGAAAACCAATTCACAAGTATCAGCACCCTCTACCCTGTCCCACTGGGTGGGGATGGGTTTGCCTGCCTCCCTGGGAGGCCTAAGGCCATCAGCAAACCTGGCAGCCCTGTGGGCTCCCATCATTGAACCCCAGCTCCTGCACTGCCAGGTATGACTGCCACCAAAATCCCCTGTCACCTCTCTGTTCTCCTCAGGCAGACAGAGCTGTGCTCAGTGGCTTCCAAGGGGCACAGGAGCTGTGCTGACCTGAAAGGTGAGCTGGATATTGCAGTTTAATGTGGCTGCTAATCAGGAGGCTTTTTATGCCTACTTAGTAAATGTCCCTATTTACTTTAAATAAAACTGTTAGAAGAGCCAAGACAAAAGTACCTATCCAGAGTAAAGCAGACAAAACTAACTGTGAAAGTGATCCTGCTGCAGATAAAATATGATGTAGCACATTTTGCAAGGTTGCTAAATTATGTATTACTAAGATTGGCACACAGTCACCTATTAATACATCTAGAGCCCTTTGTTGCCCTATTATAATAACAAACTTGCACTATTTTGGGAAATGACCTTTCTCCACAGCCTGGTGTAGCACGAGCCAGGAACCTCCAGAGCTGTAATTCCAGCTCTACCATTGACTTGCTGCATGGTGAGGGAAAGTTGCTTTAACCTCCCAGGTGCTGTTTCTTTTTCTATAAAGCTGTAGCGACACTGGCCTCCCACTCAGCTCAGTGGAGTGCCTTACTAAGTTCAAATATTTAAGCAGAGCTTTGGGTATGGAAAATGCCAGATCAGTGTGACACATTGCTGCAGCTGCTTAAGGATATTAACAGTGCAGAAATTCAACCGCAGCTGGAAGAACATATTGTGCAGAGCTACAAGGTTCTCTTTTCACAGGTGAGAATTTATAGCCACCAACTTTAAGCTACAAATCACCACCCAGTAACTTGTCAGTGTTTTCAAGCCAGAGTTTCTTTCTCAACTCAAAAGAAAGAAAATCTCAGTGCTTGGTCCCACCTACATAGCAGCAGAATTCAGGGTAATGTTAACAATCCACATAATGGTAAAGGATACACCTAAAATAACAGCATACAGGGACCACAGGATGAGAATTACTGGGACGAGAGCAACACACAGCAGATGCTCAGTTTATGCAGCCTGGGACATTTCAAATGTCAAAAAAGAAAAGCTGGGTTATGGGAAGTTCCAGAGATTGAAAAAATAGAGCAGAGAGAGCGGAGACTGTAACAACATGAGCTCTTTCTCTCTCACTTTAAATAAATAAAAGTCATGACTAAATGAAGTCATTCTGAAAACATGAACTATTTCATATTTCATTTGCTTTGGCAGAATATTCTCAGGCTTAACCCCCTCAAGCTGCACGAACAGGTGGAAAACACTAACAAAATACAGGAATGTGCATAAGCACGCAGTGAAACTATAGGAAGGCTACATTCCCAACTTAGAAAAAAAACCCAAACAGTCACATAATTCTTTTCCAAGGGGCAGAGATCTATTTGTTTTCAACACCTCACTTCTCTCCTGTGTTGTTACAAAAGATACCATCAGTATTTGAGAGTTGTCTAATAACCCTCCAATAATTTAACTAACAGTTTCCAAATAAAATTTACTTTGTGGCTTGAAACCCATCCTGATAGAGGAAATAACATTTCAATTCCATTGAAATTGACATCACAACTCAAATTCCTACATCTGCATCCCTACTTCTTTAGAAATGAAGAGTTTCACAGCCTGGAAGATTTAACCTGAAAGCCACACCACCACACCCATATTTACATGAGGAAGTTCCCAGGGTGAGCACTATTCTTCCATCAGGATGATCCTCAAATGCCCTTTAAAAACTCCTTAACTAATATTTAAAAGCCCTTTGTTTTACAGAGAGCAATACATTTGCCATGGAAGTTTAAGCATGACGATTCAAGTTTATAAGGATTAAATTACAGCAGCTATTGAAATCCATGTTTGAATTTAATATTTAATATGTCTATTGACAGATTTCACTTACTCATCCTAAATAACAGTGCCCAGAGACTGCTTTTTCACCTTCTTTGGACTGAACTGTGGCCAAATGTGAGCCCTGAGGTGGGGCACAGGCATCCCCTAAGGCAGCGGTGGTGCGGGCGGGACGAGCGCTGCCATACAGCACCATCTAAGGGCTCTCCATAAGTACTGCTCAGGGGATGTATGGAATGAGACCTATGGATCGGCTCGTGGATGTCCCCAGCCAGCTCCCAGGCACATACCAGTGTCACCACAGCAGAACCCTGAGCAACTGTTTCCTCTCCGAATTGCTGCCACTGATTCGTCAGGAATCATCTGGAAAACGAAGTTACAAGAAGCTGCCTGAGGAATAATTTTCAGAATAACAAGATTTACCTCTGTCATCAGCAGCACTTTGTTCCTCTCGGTGGCAATCTCTTTGCATGCAGACAAGGTGGTTTATTACTAACACTCTAGATTAAACACAGGAGGAGAAAATGTTATGGCTTCAAGATTTAGAAACTGAAAAATAAGAGTAGCTGTAATTCTATCCAGTTTGTACAGTATTTAAATCTCTGTAATGAACAGGGTCCATGCCTTTATTAATGTTCAGCTCTTTATTAAAAGGATCAACTCGTCACGGGACTCAACATGGAGCTCACTCCCATTGTTGAAGCTTTTCCGGTAGCTGAAGGGTGAGCAGGTGTGCAGAGTCTGTCCCTGGAGTCTGCGTGGCACACTGGTAGCTGGAGGTGAAGAGGTGTGCAGTCTGTATCTGAAGTCCCAGCACACCATCCTCTCTCCTTTCCTCCCGGCACACTGGTAGCCCAAGGGTGAGGGGGTGTGCATAGCCTGCTGCTGAAGACCAGCAGCAGCCATCTCTCACCTTCCCTCCTGGTAACACCAGGAAGTGTGTGTTCCTTTGCTCCTGCTTCCCACAGCCCAGTCCAGTCTGGTCCTCTGCAGGCTATGGTGACAGGTCAAACACAGACTAGGGATGGGGTTCCCTTTTCCCCAACCAGCACACCCATCCAGCCCCCTTCACTGTGCCCAGCCTTCCATTTTAGGGGTGTTTTTCATCCCCAAAACCCCCTCCCATGATTCCACTGGATTATTTTGCATCCAGGTCTTAAGTGTGGGTGGGGTTGTAGGTGATTCCCAGGAGCAATTAGCTAATTAACATTTCAATGTCAGTACTTAGCCCAAGCCAAGTGTCCCAGCCAGGCTGTTTTGTTCATAACGATCTCTATTTCAGCTTTTCCAGGCAATTTTTTTTTTCCTTCGTAATTTAATTTATACAAGTCTTGCTCATAAAAATATCTTCTTCCGGAGTGGTTTTGTGATGCAATCTACATAAGGAAATACCACATTAACCTGAGGATCCACTTAGTCCAGCCTTAATCTCAAGGAATACCCAATAAAGAAAAAAAATTATGAAAGAAAAAGTATTCTAACTGTCCCACAGAAATGCTCTTGCATGTTAGATGTTCATTAAGGTTCAATATCCAAAAATGTCAGATGAGAGCTAGTCAGAGTAGACTAATTTATAAGATCTGTGCCTGTCTCCACAGCAATGTTTTCTGAGATGAAAGAACTGGCAATAGGCCAAAGAAGATTATTTTAATTTTCCCAGTTTCCCTCTGAAATTTCCTGTCTCGTTGCATATGAAGTTTACCAACCATCCCAAAAAAGGAAAATTGACCTGCCTAGCAGGACAAACCTCAGGCAGCCTGTATTCTAGGACCTCACTCCATCACGTGTAGGCACATGCTCCACTGCTGACCTCTCCCGACCTCAGGGTGTGGAGAGGCAGCAGCATTTCTAACATGGAAGGAATTGTGTGTGGTGAAAATGAGTGTCTGGAGCACTGTCTCCAGCTAAACTGAAAACCACATGCAATGTGCAAGACATGAAACTGGGACTTTCAACATGTCATAATTCAAAATACCTGTTTAATGTCAGTACAGAAATAAAGCATCCAGTGGCTTTTAGCCATACTAATGCTGTACAGTAGGCCTGCTCTGCTCCATTGTTGCAGGTGTGGAAATGACAGTACTAAAGAAGCCCACATTAAAGACTCCTTCATTTCTAAGACTATCATATGCTAATGGATAGTGAAAAGGAAAAGTGAAGGACAACAATATTTGAAGTCTGAAACACAAATTTTCAAATATAATCAGTTTCTATTGCCACTGCACACAGAAAGAACCAGTCTGGTTATAAATGCTGCATCGTACCACTCATAAACAACAAAAAAGTGTTTTCTTACTTTTACTGAAACTGTTTCTAAAAGCTTATTGATACTGAGTTCCCCACTTCTCCTGTAAATCAGAAGTTAAGAACATTACTTCAGCCTCTTCTTTTGAGTCCTGAAGATATCAAATATTAGCAGCTGTTGTTCAGTGAAGACAGACAAATCATACTCACAGCCCAAAATAAAGAAATCCTGTTTGGATGAACATGTTCATCAAGCAAGGGCATGAAAAGTCATTCTTCTCAGTCTCACATACCAGTCAGGATTTCCAGGTAGATCATTTGGTTAAGATTCATGCAATATTTAAAAAAAAAAAAAAACCAAAAAAAAAAAAAAAACAAACCAACAATATTTGCAATGTAATTCCCATTCCCACTTCTAATTATGACTTGATTGAGCTCTGCCAGATACCATGCACTTGCCAGGCTTTTGACATGGCACTTAGGGCAGAAGCCAGTTTCTTATGTAGCTGCCTATTCTGGAATGAACATCTGATCTATCTGATCTCAATTAAGCAATTACAGCAATATTAGTAATCTCCACGAATTTTACAAGATTGGGATAGCTGAACAGCAGAGTTGCTCTTTAAACTTCAGAAGAGGAGGGACACGAGAGCTTAACAGGCTTGTGAAACACATGCTGACCTTTTAACACATTGACCTGTAGTGCTCTGAAAAGCCACCAATGAATAAAGAGGAGAAGTCAGTGCAGGAGGTGACAGGGTGGAAAGGAGAAAACCACCACACTGACAAGGTACAGTAATCCAGTGTCCATGAGCATAAAGGTGGCTCAGGATAACAACATTTCTGGCAGAAAAAGTATACAAATACTCAGCTGTTTCTTATTCAGATCTCGGTGTGAAAGACAAACATCTGAGCAACAGTAAAAGCTCCTGGTTTAAGCTTCTGATGTGGTAAGGCACATTAAATGTTGCAGCTTCTGGTGTTACTAAAAAGCCTTTGTCCAGTCAGACTAACAATTTACAGTTTAGAGTTAAGGTGAAACAAGCAACTTACTCCTTGCTCTTATTTTACAGGCTTTGCCAGGTTTGATCAGATAAAGGCACACATTCAGTGCAGACCCTCAATCATTTTCAGCCACATTCAATACCACTTCTGGTTCAGTTTGTGAAATCCCTTCTAAAATATGTAAACCAAGAAATTCTTAGTGCCCTAATTGCCCTTTCCTCTATGGATAATTTTGCCTACTTTGAAATACTAGGAAAGTTTCTCTAAATAAGAAGAGACCTTACTGTGATGGCTGAAGTCTTTCTCCTTCCATGAGAGGAGGGTCTGACATCACAGACTGGGAACCAGCTTAGCTGCTCTTCCTGAAAAGAGGCAGGATACGTCTTAGTACAGCTGACTTGTCCCTGTATTTCCCATTCTCCAAACCTTTCTAGAACGTTGCCAGCTTTCTTCTAAGATTTGATGAGAGAGAGAAAGGGGAGTAAAGGGCAAAGGTAACCAAGAGTTCAAGAAGAGATGCCTTCCCTCAGATGCTGCTAACAAGACACAGCACAGGAGTTTCACACAGCTTCAGAAACCCTTGTTCCCCGCTGGTGAGCTCCGTCCAAGCCCGGGTTCACCGAGGTTACAGCAAAAGAAAAGGTTGTACTTTTGTTGATCAACGCTGCTAAGCAACAAGTCATAAAAACCAACATCACCCTTATCTTCTGCTGGCTGCAATTAGAGAACTACAAACAGGATCGCAGATTCAGGGCCGGGAGAAAACCTTTAGCAGTGTGAGTGTGCCCTGCTCCCAGCCACACAGCTCGTGCAGCAACTTCTCATTAGGCACACCGCGGCATCCCCAGCCATTGCAGCCTCACAGGGCAGGTCAGCCCAGGCCTCTGAAGCTTCAAAAGCCTTTGGCTTCTCACAAGCTGTAATCTTTAGGTTGCAGTGGTCACTTTCAATTGAAGAAACAAAGCAGAAGTGTTGTCAGTTCCAGATTAACTTCATGAATGTTAAAAGGTGCATAACTAAAGCTTTTATAGGCTACTCTACCAGTGGAAGAGACATAAGAGGAAACAAAGACACGGTGATAAAGCGCAGGAACTCATTTTGCCATAGTATTTTAAGGAAAAATACAGGAATTATATCATACATTCTGAAATGTGGAGCTTTTAAGTTGTTATAAGTAAACAACCTCTTACTCAAACTACAAGATCATCTAACTATTCCCCACTTAGAGCACAATGACAAACAAACCCACCTAGTGCCAAAGGACAAGCACCACATGGTCCCATGCAACACACAAATCCAAAAGATAGGAACAGAGTCCAATTTATAATTTTTGTAAGCCTCACACAGCAAACATTGTCACTCACATCAGTTTCTGTGGCTTCACAGTGAATTATCCAAGATAATTTTCATGCTCCCTTGGGAGGAAAAATAGAGAAAAAATATGCATTCCTCTTGCTGCTCCATAATATACCTTCTCCATACACTGTCGTGGACGTCAGCCCCTCTTTTCCTTCCTTGTTCATCAGCTGAACCATACCTTAGTATGACAGGAGGGAACAGAGCACATTTGTCATCCTTCCATTCTAAGTATGTACTCTAATTGCTTCTGAGTTTTTAATTTTGAAATTTTTATTCTCAATTTACAAATGCTGGTAATGTTCCATTATGAGAAGGTTGGGTTGCTTTTATTTAAACTGTAAGGAATACGACTGTGGAGTAGCTGGTTTTCCGAAGAGGAATCCTGTTGCTAGTCGGTCTGTGCACTGATGACTGTCAACTCTTCCAAGGAACACACTAATGTTTCCTTAAATACACTCTTTATCAACTTTTGTTCAATCTTTCATCAAATTATAAATGTTTTAGAACAGTCCAGCAGGAATAACTACAGAAGCACTAAACTCTGTAAAAACATTTTTCTCATTTCAACTCATATAGTATGTTACTTATTGACTGCATCCAAGGGGGAACAACAGAGCACTCTGAGAAAGGAAAATAAAAAGGAAATAAGGATGTTTGTACCAGTACAGAGCAAGGCAGTAATTGAATCTTGCCACATTACAAAAGAAAACTTTAGGAAGGGAGCTTGCATACAGTAAAAAAAAAAAAAAGTTCCTTTGTATTCTTTAGCTTTCCTCAACTTCCATGCCCCAAAATCTCAAACAGCCAACACACTGCAGATTGCACAAATAAGCAATGTGTGAGGAGAACATAAAGGCTGAAGCAGTATGCATAACAGGAAGTAATGCATTTACAGAAGGCAAGGGCAGATTAGATATCAAAGGAAAGTTTTTTATTACTTAAAGCAGGACATTACAACAGAATAGTAGTCAAGAAGGGGTCACTGGGTCCTGTCACTGAAAACAGAGAGATTAGATATGAAAGGAATAAGTCACACTAAGAGCATGAACTTGCTAAGAGCATTTTTCCAACCTTAAGTAACGTGGCTGTAAATATACGTGGGGCTCAGAGTAAAGACTACTGAACTGCAACCCTTACACTCTCTGACCTGTTTCAGAGTCCTGGGTAAATCACTTGATCTCACCACACTTGTTTTCCCCAGCTGTGAAACACCAGCAACCTCTATCACACAGGGACCTGGGGAAAACTTTCACACTTATAGACAACTGCAAGACCTTGTAGAAAACAACTTTGTGTATCTAACCAGTTTATTCCTTACTCCATACTCGTGTGTCTAACAGTTTGTCATACCTCCAGCTACAAACTTCATCTTGCTATTGGCTTCTCATGAAGTTATATTATTTTCCCCTACTATTCTGCAATAGCTGTGGGTTTAAGTGTTAACATGAGAGCAGCTTGACAACTCCAGAAACTAAGAATATGTCAACATCCTACTCAACAGATTTGTTTACTATCTTTTTTCAGAAGGCTGTTTACTTGAATAACAGTATTGTAATGCATTTTAGCCAAGTTAATCCACAGAGCTAAAAATGATGAGCTGGAAACATTCTTCCCTATCTAGGGACATAGTGGATTTTTTATAGAAGTGTAGCTGACCAGCTGAAGCTCTGCAGTCCTTCTAAAAACAATGCATCTGCCCAGCCCATGAGAACATGAACAAAACTGCACAAACTGAGCAGCAGTTCGCTCCAAACCACATCACAGCAAAATTTTACAGGCTGTAAAACAAATGATTTCATTAGCACATGGAAAGCTCAGTTCACAGTTTACACAGGACAGCTTTTCAGTTTGGTAGAGGAATCACTGAAAAACAAAACAGGAACCCTCATTTACTGTTTCATTTCCAAACACTCCTAAGGATATTACTCGATCTACTGAAGCATAAGACATAACTGAATACATAAAGAAGGCAAATCGTATTTTCATTTAATGCTCTGCTATATGAGGAAAATGCAGTTCAAAGAACATGCTTAAGCCATTGCACTTTTGCTAAGAGTTCATTTGTAAATTAATAATATTATAAAAGCAACAAAATGAGAAAATGATAGCCCACGGCTTGAGTGGATCAGTAGATCTGCATCCAGAAAATAAATACTGAAGAAGCTGTACAACATATTCTGCATGAGCAGGTGTCATTTAAACAAAGCTGCCGGTTCTGTTTTACTTACTTGGCAGCTCATGTATAACAGACATGAGCAGTCCTGACAGAAGTAGTAATAACTATAATAAGGGTTTGATCTAACGGATAAACACAAATGAGGTCACCTCAAAAACTGCCACCTGAAACAAAGGGACTATCAAAAAATTGAAAACTTACTGGTTAGAATGCTGCTGCAGTCATTTCCTACCTGTCATTTCATCTACAAGGTACCAAAAAATACAGTCAGTACTTAAAGCTGAAAAGATGCAAAGGACACAAGACGTTGCTTTTGGTTTTGGGCACTCTCTGTCATATTCAATAGAGGTTGTTTAAATAAAAAAGAAACTGTAAGCACTGCATTTCTCTCACAATTCAGCATGGTCATAACAAAGTCACTGTATTTCTGGTACTCCATACATTCCTTCAGCTGCTTCTTTGTAACTGATTGCAGCAGCCCCAAAGTAGCGATTAAGAAACAGGAGTAAGTGGTCAGAGCGCAGAAGTTCTGACAATTTAGGTTGTGGACACCACTAACACGGCTACCCCAGTGCAAACTTTCTCACCAAAGAAATACCTCAGCTGTATGGCCCCCAAAACATCACAATGCCCTTCCTTAGTGTTTCACTGCAAACAGTGCCTAGCAGGCAAAAGGGATCATTATGTAACAACTGGAATAAGGGAAAAGTAAAGAAAAAATATTTTGAGGGGAACAAAACACTGGAAAAAAAACAAACACCATGAAGGTAAAAAGAGGATTTAAGTAACCCAATTTACTGCTATACTGGAATTGGGTTGCTAGAAGCCAAACAGGTGATATTGAGCTAAAGTCACCATACCTTTTTACATGCATGTCCAGAAAATCAAAACTGTGAAAATTATCACTTCCAAGATATTTCTTTAAAAATTAATTTATCTAAGTACCAGGCTCACAAATTCTCCTGTTTTACTATTTTTATTGTCAGGTCTCCAAAAATCAGCACTTTTCCACTTTATCCTTCACATTTAGTGGGTACCAGATGAGCTCTGCCTTCTAGATCACAGATCAGGAAAGGGAAAATAGAAAATAAAACATGCTTTTGGTTGGAAGCAGTCCTGTCTTCTGCAAGAGGTAAAGAAAAAATACCAAACACGACTGGCCATTTTGTTTGAATCCAAAAAAACCTAAGTTAGATCAGAAAACCACAAAACATTAGAGACAAATAATTCTAGTATAAAGACATTTGCTATCATGGGTAAAATTTGTCCAATCTGATGTCTGCATGTAAAAAAAAGTCTGACTACATTTTGCTCTTTAATGAAACATCTATTTTGAAACCAGATGGTTAAAATTCCCTTCTCCTACTGTACAGTGTAATAACTAACTACAGCTTCCAAAGTGGGACCAAACACCACTGTGTTCTATTTATAGTCATATAATTTATTTAAAACTAAGGCTGTGGTCTGGTGCTGTCAGGCAGTGCAATGCTTTTGCTGTCACTCAAGGTGAGGAAAGAAAATGCAATCCATTCTGGCAACAGCTGCTGCTATATTAGAATGGAAAGCCGCAGTGTCAACTGCTCTGAGATGACCCCACGAGAATCAAACCCTGCACCACCACTAACCTCACTCTCCTGCCCTCCCCAAACCCAATCATTTCACATGGGCATCCAGTTTTTATCAACAGATCTATGGCATGTAGAAATAGAAGATTTGGAAATTCAGTTTTTTCCAATAGTGTGTAGTAATCTCTTAATGAGTGTTTAGAATTGTCATGATCACTGCATATACAGAATCCAACAGAATTCTTTTGCATAGTACTGGATAGGTTTTCTATTCATTTCTGCTGCAGCAAAACATCTGAACCCCCACATAGAAAAAGTGTATTTAATGTTCACGTTTACATAAAGCACTTGTCAAGAACAGAGTAGAAAACAATGCTTAGAGACCATCTTTGAATGCCTTCAGCAGCAGGTCTGCTGCCAGCCCAGGAGACAAGACTCCTCTGAGAACTTTTTCTTCCAGAAGTGGGATCTTATCCTTGACTGCCAAGTGACTCCGGAAATGCTCCAGCATGTTTTCCTGGATGAGGTTCCACATCCACACTTTCTGCTGCTTCCGCCGTTTGGCAAGCAGCTCGCCGCTTGTGAGCATGAGGTCCCGGAACTCGCTCATTTTATCCCACACATCCGAGATGCCCTCCCCAGTTTTGGCAGAGATGCGCATCACCTAGGGGATTCAGAGGAACTGTCAAAGCCAAGGCAGCTGCTGGCCTGGAGGCTTCAAGTATTGGATCAGGTAGATTGAATGGAAATTAAGAAATGTGTGAGGGAAGCTTTCTTCAACACTCGCTTCATGAGGCTCTAAGCATTTCTGTGCCTTCCCCCCAATCCCCCCAAAAATCTGGGATTCTACTAACTAGAAGTAGACCCTGAGATCCATACTATTTGGGATATTTGTCCAGCTGCTTGTCATGAGAATCACTTTTAGCAAGTCCTTCAGCTAAGAGGCACATTATTGCTCTTTTACTTAAATATAGAATTAAGTGCATATTCTTGTAGCTATTCTTTTGCACTTAAAATATGCCAGAAACAAGGATTTTTGGTTGGTTTTCTTTTTGTCTTTGCTTTCCAGACCAGGAATTAATTTTGCCAACAATATTTCAGAAATCCAGCACAATCTTTCAAATTGAACAGACTGGTTTATTTTTTTAAAAAAAAAACCTTCCCTCCACTTAGAAAAGAAAGGTTAATCCTCAGACAGCACAGCTGATTTAAACTCACCTTAATGGGTCAATTTCAATACCACGGTAGAACAAACCTCCTTTACAGATAGCTTATTATTTATAAAGGAAGTGAGAGTGTGTGTGTGTGTGTGCTTATTCTATATACACATATTAAAAACTAGTTCTGAATCTTCTCCTTAAAAATCCACCAAAACCTTTTAGTAGGTAAAATACAGCATTAAAACTGAAGACCTACAGGATAAGAATTCCAATTATCTTAGCCATTTTTATTATGTGAGAAACTAAAAAAAAAATTAAAGCAATAAAGGAAACATGTGAACTAGTGAAAGAATAAAGATAATCACAGGCTTCAGAGTTAAAACGGAGGGAGAAGTAGACTAAGGGACATTTTTAGATATGCGCAGTTTACAAAAAGCAAGTAAAGTTTGCACCACTCCTAATGTCAGTAATAGCTCTGCTAGTGCAGACATTGTAGCTCAGGGCAGGAGTCCTGGGGAGGAGGACTGGCTCTGCAGTGTTTCATGTGGCACACCTGGAGACCAGAGGCGAGGCACAGACAGCAGCGATCACCTCTCCAGCTCACCAAGACTAAACAACCAACTGCAATTTTTAAAAAGAGCCCAGGGAGACTAGGACAGCTAGATGAGAATATACCAAATTTAAATCATTCAGCACATTTTCAGGGAGGAGAAAATACAAAAAAAAAAACCCAAACAAAACCAAACCAGACCCAAAGAGCCCCACAAAACACAGTGAATTCCACAGACCTTTGGCCTCCAAACTTTTGAACGCTTGTGAAGCAGCTTCATAGCACTGATGTACTCAGCCTGGATCCTCCGGGCAGGCACAACTAAATCACCATCAGCCTTATTGATAGCAACCAGATCTGCCATCTCAATGATGCCCCGTTTGATGCCCTAAATGCAACAGGGACAGAAATCAGGAGTACCCAGAGGGGCTGTGACATACTGATTCACCACAAAAAGCAGGTCAAAATGCTTTGGTAGTTTCTAGTTTTCCCCCAAAAAATATATATAACTAGTAAACATGTCAAAGTCAAGCCACAGAGAATCAAAAGTTTACATCCTAATACTTTAAAAATCAAAATAGGGAGCTTAACTGTGCAGTAAGTGGATGACAATGAAAATACTTAATAATAACAGTATAATGGACAAAACACTATTGATATGGACTTTCTGCACAGATACTACATGCTGAATTTAAGTTTTTCTTTCTAGTCCCAGGTAGTAACCAATAAGAGAAACTGAAAAATACCTGTAATTCATCTCCGCCTGCAGGTGGTAGCAGTAATATAAACATATCAACCATATCAGCCACAGCAAATTCTGACTGGCCCACACCTAAAAAATTAAATTCAGAATTTACCATTTGCTACAAACTTTCAGTCCCATTAATGACAGTAATTGTGACAGATGCCAGCATTGCCCCATGAACAAATCCCACTAACAAAACAAAGACAACAGGAAACATGACAGTATAGTAAAAGACATACAGGACTAGAAAACAAGACAGAATGAGCATTTGTGTTCAATCAATGACCACATACAAAAACACAGGCAAAATCAAGGCAGAGGCATGCAATTATTAGCACAGCTTATTTTCATATCACAGCAGGACAATCAAAGCAAACCCTAAGCACATACCTACTGTTTCCACAAGAACAATATCGTAGCCTCCTCCTTCACAGAGCAGAATGGCTTCATTTGTGGTCCTTGTGACACCTCCCAGTGTCCCACTGGTCGGAGATGGTCTGATGTATGCATTCATGTCTCTTGACAACTCAGTCATCCGTGTTTTATCACCCAGTAGGGAACCTTAATGTTAAATTATTTCAGAAGTGCAACACAGCCACTCTCCCCCTTCTCCCCGCTCCACACCAATAAATGAGTGAGGAAAGACAGATTTCTTGTACAAAGTCAATCAAATAAGAATATCCTAGTCATAGTTGCTCAAAACTTAGCTGAGGACTAGGAAACTACTGTCTGGTTCTTCTACTTCTCAGAAGCTGGAAAGGCCTGACAGACAGACCTTACTGCTACCAAATACAAAAAATCCATGCTAGGTCAGAATGAATTCTACAACTCCTGATTGGCTTTTTGAAGCCTACACACATCAGGCCACGCAGCTGATTCTTGCCTTTTCCTGTCCAAAGGGACAAAACCCTGTGCATGATGATTCCGACACACCGGGATGCTGGATGTTTTAAGAGAGCTGACATGTGTCCCTGCCTTCCTTCTACTCAGATAATCTGCAAATCAGATTCAGAGAGATCTATGCACCCAACACACACTCCAAAAGATGAGAGATGCTCAATTCTTCCAACTGCTGCAGTCGTGCTGTCACATATTGCTACTCTACTGATGCATCCTAAAGGCATGCATTAAAGAACACAGTCTGTCTTAGCTCCACGTCACTGCAATGCTCTAGTTATTTCTTCATAAATAGTTACACACCTCTAACAGCACAGAAACTGGAAAAACTAATGATGCTGCATGGCAAGCGGTCCCTTACGGAAAAATCAAAATCAATATTGTGTTATTTGTATCAGAGATATCACGAATCGGGCATGGTCAGCTTGTAATTTCCCTACAATTTTTTATTGGAGAGTTACAGATTGCAGCCTGTCATCAGTAATCCTGCACAACTTCAAAAAAATTCAAATTTAGAAATATAATTTGTAAGGTAACGTTTGAACATTGGAAAAGAGGAAATCTGAAAGAATTACAACACAGATACCTATTTCCCAATTTTGTGTCACATAGGAAAAAAAAAATTGATTTATTTTACATTTTACTGTTACAGGCACCAAATTTTCTTCCACTTGGTCCAAAGAGATACTTCTGTAGTTGACAAGGTTGAGTCAAGTCAATTCACACTCACCACCACTTGTACTAGAGGAAGGGTCCACAGCCAACACAGACACTTTGTGGTTTCTTTCTGTAAGCATCTTCCCAAAGCATTCAATAAAGGTTGACTTTCCAGCACCAGGAGGACCAGACAACCCTAAATAATAAAATTAGGAAGAAAAAGCCATTTTGTTAGTCAAATAAAAAATACATCTCATGAATACCATCAACATCATCTAAGTTGATAACAATTCATACTTTAACATAGCATCACAACAAATGCAAATAAAAGCTATGCCAAAACAAAATAGGAGCTTGGCAACACAGCAGCACTTCACCACCCATCATCCCACTGACACCAACATAACACTGGGTTTATCCACATCTATTTCTTCCCCTCCAAATAAAATTATTTATACTGTATAACTTTTCCTTCAGAATTTTCAAAATATTAGAACTGAATTTTTCAGATTTACTACAAAAGAAACTCCAAAAGGAAAAGCAAGCCCTTACCTTGAAGAGCTGCTCTTTCAAAAAAATGAGGCCATTTATTTGCATGTCAAAGCTCACCAGCTAAGATTAGCACCAAACTTTTCTCACTCCCATGCCCCAGTTCTTGTTCTCACTACCTTTGTATGGACAGTAGAGAAGACAGCTGGGCATGACTCATGTTAGCAGCCCTTCTCTTTCTAAGGGCAAAATATTTTACAGGTTCCAAGAGAAACAGATTCAAGACTCCTTCAGCTGAAAATCAGGCTGCTTAACAGAGGGCCAGAAAACAGGAAGGTACATGTTTTTCCTTCTGTAGACTAAAAAAGGGATTCAGGAAGTGTTCGAGAAAACACCTTCTTTGGTTGCTTGACTACATCTTCCCCTAAGTGTAGATAACATCTGCATCAATCTGCAAACTAACTACTGTTTCACCTCACAATGGTTACAAAACCCACCGTGGATAACATTCTGAAGAAGCAACAATAATTTCTAAATAATTTTCAAACGCATTTTTCATCTCATGCCATAATTCCACAGGACAACAGAAGTAATCTAGATTGGTTATAAACAACAAAAAAATAACAATCCAAGACCACAGACCACAAACAACAGTGATAATAAAAGGTAAGGACAGTAATTACACGTAAACAACTACTAGACAAGACATAAAAGGACTAACCCACTCTAAAGGCAAGTGGCTTTCCCTGATTTAACTTTTCTTGTTCCCTGTGGTACGATAATACCTTCTGAAGGAGCACCTGGGCTACTTTCTTCTTTCCGCTGTGAGTTGATTCTATGAGTGTAATGGCTTCGGCTAAAGAGGCTCTGTGGCGCTGGATTAGCCCATGGTAAAGTCTGTCTACAAGTCTCTGCTCCCGGTCAGAAAGTCCCTCTGCTTGCTGCTCAGGGGCTGCTTGCTGGCACAGCTCTCTCCTCAAACAATTCGATGAACAAATCCATTTTGTATGGCAGCGGTGCGCTGACTCAAGAGACTGGGCACCCAGGAAATCTGCTCGGGAAGCGAAGCCAAAGTTCACGGAGTAAGTTCTTCTGGAGAAATAACAGCGAGGGAATCTCAGCAGCAAAGAGGGGATCTTCATCTTGTTTGGAACTAAAAAGTACCAGAATTGTCATTCACTTCTGTTGCCGACACCCTAAAGAAAAGGAAAAACATTTTTACTTTCCTCAAAGCACTTGTGAGGACTCAAATTAAATTTACATACACCTGTGATCATCAGCTTTGGTTTTATCTGTACGCACTGCCTTGAATAAAAAAAAAAAAATTACCATCCCCTTTTCCCGTTAAACGGACTCAATAAAAACCCGCTAGAATCAAAAGCACAACATCTCTTTATTATCATACTTCATAAATGAAAATATAAAAAAAACAACTTTCAAATAAGCCTCCGAGGGCACGCACAGCACACTAGAATCCAGAACACTCAACCCTTACACTTACGTTAAGGGCGGTATATTCTACTTTGACTGGCTACGCTGTGGGCTGTTTTTAACAATTTTTCGGGATGAGGGCATTTTGGCACTTATTTCCATCAGAAAGAGGAAAAAAGGGGGGGTGGGAGAGAGTTCAGACAAAAATCATTTAGAAATAAACAGGAGAGCTGAAGCCTCCCCGAGGCACCGGCGGCCCCAGCCCCGCTCCCGCTCCCGCTCCCGCGCGGGCGCTGAGGGGGTGAGGGCGCGGCAGAGCCGCCACCGCCGGCACATCCCCGCCATTCCCGGCCCATCCCCGCCATTCCCGGCACCTACCGGAGCCGCCCCGCTCCGCCCCGGGAAGTGACGCCCTCAGGCTGAGCCGGAACCCGCAGGGAAGGGCCGGGCTGGGCTGGAAAGGGGATGCCGAAGGACAAGGAGCTGCCCCGCCATTCCCCAGGGCCCTGGAGGGAGCGGTCAGGGGCTCAGGGCTCAGCTGTGGCCATTCCATGAGCACGCGAACTTCCATGGCCGTGGAGTCACAGTCTCCCTGCCCTGGCCTTACAGTGCAGGTTGTTTCAAATCGTAATTTCTCTCCTGATTTAGAGGTACCCACTCTGAATCCGTGCGTGGCGATTTACTAGTCCTCCCACTTCGCTTCATACACAAAGAGGGAGAAGAAAAGCTTAAATCCCTGCATGTGCTTGTTAAATCACATTTATTTTCAGCCTTATTAAAGTTCCTCTTTAAACTTTCCTGATGTGGAATGTTGGTTTATTGTGAGGCAGTATTTGTTTTGCTTCCTTAATTTTTTTTAAACTGTTATTATTTCTCCAGTCATCTCAGCACCCTTTTTCTGCCTGGCTTCTTGTTAAACTACACAGATCTACTTCCAATTAATGTAATCACGCTGAATCTACTGGCTGTTCCCAGTGCCTCGCACTGTCCTGCAAAGACTTTTTCACAGTGTCATCACACGGGCAGTGAAAATGACAGACTATTAAATAGCAAAAGTTTTGTTCTGAACTGCTGAATGCACAATTTAATCTCACTGCTATTATTCGGTCCAGAAGATGATGATACATAGAGAACTGAACACTTCAGGGCTAAGAAAATATGCAATTTTCTGTGCCTATCAGCATGGGATGAAACCATGGCAGAAAGAGACAAGAAGTTCCATTTCAAAATAGCCTTGTGAGGTCTTTCTGTTTAACCAGGTCTTTATTCACCAGAGTTAGCCTGGATCACTATAATCTCTTCATTAACAAGGCTCTCTGTTTTAAGTGCTGTACTTGCACATCCCCACTACTAGTTCAGTAACAGCAGAAGCAAAAAAAAAAAAAAAAAAAAAAAAACACCAACAAAAAACCCCCCAAAAAAAACCCCAAAAAACCAACAAAAACACAACACATTCAACCACTGCTTAATTGATCCTTCATTTTATGCCCCTTTGTGTTCTCCCAAATTGAATACTTTTGTCAGTGACCTTGATGGAAAACTGCACATTTCATGAATGCGGAAAAGGAGAGGGGATTGTCCAGTTCTCTATGATAACCTTGTGGACAGGAATAATGGGAGTGAGATTAAAGTGTGCACTCAGCAGTTCAGAACAAAACTGCTGCTCTTTTATACAGCCCATCAGGCTGTACTGCCAATCTGATATGGCCACAAGCAGGCATGAATGTGCTGTAGAGTCATCTTCCTGCAGGAACTGTTTCCAAGATTTTGCACACTGGTGAGGTCTGGAACTCCAAATTGCTCAAGTCATCCTCTTTTTTGTTCCCCTATCCCCCAACTCTGTTTTTCAACAAGTTTGCTTTTCACCAGTCAGAGACTATGGTCTCCACGTGCCAGATATGCAAGCTAGACTTCCTACTGCCTTGTCAATTATATACACCCTTTCCTTCACTAGTCTTTCATATATCAGAGATTATATGGTCTTCTACCATCTCTGATTTTTTTTTTTACTATAACCTCATGCAAAATAGGCAAAATGCTCCCTTAGAGGCTGGATCATATCTAGAGTCTTCTTAATCTACATCCTGCCATACTATACAGTGTTCTTGTGTTTCTCCTACGGTCTTCAATGTATGCACTAAAGACAGGGGTGTTTGGTTGTTATTACACCCAGCCCAATAAATTTTGGTCAGACTCACTGCATTTGTGTTTTCTGATTTGCAATATACAGATTTTTCTTGGCTTCTGTATTCTTTATCCATTCATCATTAATTTACTTAAGATTGTTGCTCAACTATTCAGGAGGGTAATTCAGTAGCTTTCCACATCAGCGTCTGTCCTTTTTCTTAAAAATTATCTTTCAAACTTGGGGTGAGAAGAGTGTATTTGTGGATTTGTTTTTTTTTTTTTTAAATTTCAAATTTAACTCATATTCTGTGTTCTCTTTGCTCCTTTTCTCCATGGGTGTCAGAAGAATAAAAATGCACGCCCCATAGTTATTCCATCTCAGTCTGCAAACTTGTCCAAGATTTAAGAAAATGATCTGTTTTAACCTTCTTGCTGCAAATTTATCCCAGTGTTAAAGAAAAGGGTACAGCTGGTAACTCATGAAATAGCAGTCTTCCTTCTGAGCCAATACTAAATCAAACATCCTGTAAAGTGTTATAAATATTGGGCCATGATCTAAAGGTGCAGGGAGGCACAGACATTCAGGCAAAATGTGCAACCAAATCCAGATCATTACAAAAGAATAGAAAAATACCCTTCTGTAACTTCTCACAGCAGGAATAGAATTAACACTTAGAATCTGCCAAATTCAACCATGCAAATTTACATTCTGTCTAACTGGCTTCCCCTTGCAGTTTTAGTTGGATTAGCTCATTCTTTCTCTGGCAACACTGATTCCCTTGCTCTGTTCACCTGCTCTTTAAGAAAACCCATAGTAATCTTTGTGCACATAATTAATACAATGATATTTAATATCATCAGAGACATTTCTCTACAGCAATATGCTGTAAAGGTCAATACAAAACCACATTCCCTCCCATGTTACAAACTGAAACTACAGAGGTGACCAAATGACCATTTGTCCTTTATTTCAGAAGGCACCCCTCAATTAATTTCAGTTTTCACAGAAGCAGAAAAGTTTGATCCAACCTCCTCTTTACTGCAAAACATGAAGCAAGGTAACTACTGGTTACAACCATCCTTTCAAGAAGAAAGGCTAAGCTTTTCAATGACAGTCTTAGCACTCTAGACAAAACACACCTCCTGCCTTATCTTGAAAGATAATTGGACACCTGAAATGCAATCACTAGAAAGCATATTGACACCTGAAAGTTTGCCTGTTGAAATGCAACTTGAGCCCAGGCCTCAGATCTGCAATCGCAACTCAGGCAAGGGAATACCAGAAAAAAAGGCCATCTCCCCAAAAGCTCTGTAGCAACTGTTACACCAATGGGTGTTTGCTGACTGTGAACATCCCAAGGTTTTTCCACAAAGGCCATGACCAAGCAGCAGGACAGCTGCCTGGCTAGGTGTGGAGAAAACAGCCTTTCCACAGCTTCCCAGGGCCAGCCACCTACACAGAGGAGACAACTCCATGGCTGAGCAGACTCTCTGTACCTGTGCTAGTGAGGAGCCATAAGGTTGTCAGGGCTGCTGGAGCCTGAAAGCCTGGAAGAAATTTGCTCTGTTTGCTTTGGCTGAGACCTACAAGAGTGCAACTGAAGAAAACAGAAAGAAAAATGATCTTAAATAATTATGGTTTCTATTTGTGCAACGTTTTTATAAACAAGGGAGCTGAAGTTTCTTCACAAAACCTTAGAGCAGTGACTTCAATGTTTCCTTGTTGGTATGAACTGAGCAGTGATTGCACATCAGTGAGAAATGGCATCAGCCATTACAGGAAAGTTTTCTAATGCTTACGCACAAGTTTTTAAATTGTTAATGATGAACTGCCTGATGTGAAATGATTTTTAAAGGGGACAAATAAAACTATCTTTTCTGTAAAAAAAGGAAGGACATTTACTATATAAGCAAAACCCCCAAATTTTATTCATATACTACTACTAGTTGTAAAAGCCATTTAAATAATGTTCTCGAAGACTGATTCATTGTTAAAATTATAAACCTGGAAGAGCAAGTCACTTGCCAGTAAAATATTTCTTTTTCTTTAAATTAAAAAAGTATTTAAAAGCTTGGCTTAAAGAGTATGTTTTTTTCCGTGGCCACCAATGACTCATGATATCAAAGTGTTTCTCATGTAGTTCGTTATTACACAGCCACAAAGGAAATCATTACTTGCCTTCTCCTGTTTTTTTTTTTCAATACAGCAATGAAAGCATACTAAGCATATTAGTAAACATAAAAAATATAATACAAAATATAATCTGACATTTGACTTTGCTGAGACACCCTCATTCCCAGCTACTTTTTGTTTAAGGAAAGGTCTGATTGGCTGCAGTTTTTAAGTTCTGTAGTTGCCAAAAACTCAGTCCTCAGCAGAGGACTGAGACTTTCAAGTGACTAAATATAATCCTCCTTTCCTCCAGCCCAGGGTACTAAAGGTTTATTAAGTCAGTTTGAAATGAGCACTACCTTATACACCAAAAAGTGAATACTGTAGTTCACAAGGTGAAGAATCAGTTGGGACAAGGAATCAATGATGAATGCATAACTCAGTTTACCATTGAAGACAATTTGAACATCGAGAGTGAAAGCATAGATCTCTCATATGTTCAGGTGTTTTTCCCTGCATCTCCAACAGCATTGGTGCTCAGAGTTCTCTGTCCCATGCTGAGTGCTTCACTAGCATGTGAAACTCACAAGTGGTAGATGTGAGACACTGGGGAGAATTAGCCATAGGAACATAACATTGCAGCAAAACATATCAAGACATTCTCTGTTCCAAGATGGCACAGCTAAGATGAAGAGGAAGACCAAGGCCATGGTAACTCTGACAGGCAGGATTCAAGACTGAGATGTAGGAAAACCTAAGTGTTCTCAGCTGGGACCAAACCTGTGGTGTGAACAGGGAAGGCTGTTTCTGGCAGGCCACCTGAGCGCCTTAAACATGAGGTACTGCTTATCATGCTGGAAGTCTCTGTATTTGCTTGCTTACTCTCCAACATGCCCACAAAAGCAAGACTTTGGTTTTACAGTCCAATATTGTGTGCAAGCTAAATGTCCCATTTTTTTTCAGGCAGCTGTAGCAGATGGGCATGAAAAGGACAAAAAGGGAAGATTCTGCTAAGATTCAATGTTGTATGAT